AACAAGACAAGTATCGTACTGGTAGCTTTGGTCAGTATTTTGAAGATAAAAGTGAACGAGGCTTCTCAGTGCGTTGCAAGGCAATCACAAAGCAATGTCTTCTTCTACGGATCGCTGATCGAATCGTTCAAGGTGGACACTCTTTCAACGTGTACCTCAAGATGCAAGCAGAATAAGGTTTGTTCAAGCATCAATATGAACCTGATGAACATGAAGTGTGATCTAAACTACTCTACGAAGAAAAGACACCCAGGGAAGATTGTTAGTCAACAAAACACCATCTACATGGAGATACGGGATGACAACGCTGCTCCAGGGTCGAGGCCAGATAGACCAATCACTTCTTGTAAGAAGCTCAAGGAGGATGACAGCCAGGCAAAGTCAGGTGTGTATTGGATGAGGTTCAATGAGACATCCTCTGTGCCATTCCAAGTGTTCTGTGACATGGACACCGATGGAGTAGGCTGGACCCTTGTCTATAGCTATACATTCACTCAGTACAGTTCCTTTAGGACAGCTGCGAACGCAGTCACCCCAATACCAAACTGGCCTGTCAGTTGGTCCCCTAGTGGTTGGGTGCCTCAGTCTACGACAACCCCGCTCAGCGAGTCTTCTCGTTCTGCCATGGATTTTTCTCTGTGGAAGAAGATTGGTAAAGAGTTTCTCATCAAGTCCAATATAACTAACTGGGTAGCCTGTGTAGAAGGAACGGGAAGTTTTGTGAACTGGGCGGCAGGAAGTGTGACCTGTAGAGTTGTCAAGGCCATTACTTCACCTTGCACAACTGTCGCCCCAAACACACTTGGTTTTGGCGGTTGTGGATTGATTCTCAAGAAGGATGATAAATTTCAATACTTTTTTGAAGGACGAACCGACCTTTGCTGGCCAGTCCACGATCCCTGTGGTACTGACCCCTCTTCATCCAATCACAAGACGAATGTTGCCAACCCCGGTGGAGCGGTGTATATCCGATAAATCCTTAGGACCAAAAGCCGYCATGCCAGCGATGATGTACCAGTGTCTTCCTTTTGACCAGTCATTACCTATCTTTCAACTCGYCTATTTTGGGACCGACCAGCACTGCCAATATCACCGAACGTTCTTTGTTCCATTCATGTATGAATGTCAGAAGCAACGAGTTCGAATGAATACCCCCGTGCCAATCTACCAAGCCCAAGAACTCTACTATAAACACTTAGAATAAAACCRTCTATTTTCCAGAGGAAGGACTACTCCCCTTTACGTGTACAATTCATTTTATAACAATATATGAATATAGTAATACTTGTAAACCGTTTTAATAGTGTTCAATCAAAGCTGCACATCCTATKTTCTYTCCACGAACAATTTTGGTCAACGATAGAGGCACCATGTTGATATACGGCGTGGAAACAACTTGAAGTAATTTTTATATGGTTTTTATGTACATGTGACCATTCTTAAATTTGATTGGCTGAAAGCC